AATTAAAAGGCATTTAACCGAGATATGTTGTATACAGTAAATGGCTGAAGCTAGGAGTCAGCCAGCACCAGACCAGTACCCACACCTTCCCTCCCTTTTTTTAACCTGTGAAAAAATAAACCGGATTACCCAGACAAGCAGTCCACCTCCTCCCTTTCCTGTGTAATGCCGGCGGGAATAGACCGTGTTTCCCCCTGACAACCAGCCCACCGTCCCCCTCAATCTAATGAAAAAGTTGCCGGCCGGCGGGAACAAGGACTCCAAAGGTAATGGAGTCTATGTGCCTGTTCCCGACCTTGCCGTGCTGCTCGGTGAAAATAATGCCCCCCTGCTCACCTCCCCGTCGTGCTGGGGAAGCCGGTCGGCCTGTGGAGCCGGTAGTGCCGGGGGAGCCGGTAGTGCCGGGGAAACCCGGATACTCACAAGTGTGACGTTTGAAACTGGCGCCGCGTCTCACCGGAAGTGACGTAGCGCAACAGGAAGCCGGAAGAGAAAGGGACCGGCGAGTATCACGCTGTTCGTCTATACCAACGAAGGTAAGCAAAGGAAGGGGGGAGTCCCTTAAATAGGTCTATAGCCCCTCCCACAACTTCAGGCCATGCCTTCCAATTTATGTATATATTTTTGCAATTAATTGTTCCCATTTGGATACATTGTTTGATTCTAGTGTGTGTGTGTATATATACCATCAAATTATTTCTCTCTCTCTCTCTCTCTCTCTCTCTCTCTCTCGAATGTGTATATATATATATATATATATATCTTTTTGCAATCAATGAATTTTGTTTACATAATAGTATTATGAATTATTAAAATAAGTAAAGAACTTTATTCAAAAAATTCTTTTTGAGCGCAGTATCATTTTCAGTAGTTTACATTATTCGGTATTGGGCCACCCTGATACTTTGCACCAAATATAGGTGAAAGAGTGCTGGTGCGTAATATTTTTTGTTCTAACACTACAACAGAATTATTTTTGTTTTGAGACAAAGTGGTTTATGCAGTGCTCAGGAACATCTATGGGGGTAGCGATGGCCCACATGTATGCAAATGCTTTAGAGGAAAAGTTAATTCTGCGACAGTATCCAGACAAGATTGTCAAATATGTACGCTTCATCTGAAATCCTAATTTTGTGGAGGGGAACTGTGGCAGAAGCCCAAATACTGCTGTAAGAAAGTCTGTGCTCCATTAGCTGATAATCTGCAATAAGCAAGCCTGATTTCAAAACTATCAAGAAAGTCTGTGCTCCATCAGCTGATCGTCTGCAACTCAGACTTTGCAACTCACTTCACTGACAAGATCTCTACAATCAGGGCAGATTTGACAAAGTACCCTTCGCCACGTGTGCCTGGAGAGGACTAATTGCCAGTCTCCTGCCTTGTGACTATGGCCTCTGGGATATATTGCCTGTTAAAAACTATAATTTAGCAGACTGAATTGTAAAAGACTCGTTCTGCCACTTTAAATTGTATTGGGGCAGTTCTGCAGCTTTAAATTGGCACTTCGGATACAGACGAAGTAGTCGAAGTGGCCGCCATTCGACAGCCGAACACGTGGCAGCAGCCATTTTAATTTAGTCGAACGGTCAGCGGTGTGTGCGCCACCGCTGACTCGTACCTTCTTCTCCACTTCGACACTGCAGCTGGAGACTAAGTCCTGTTCGTAGATTCGAATGCTTGTTCGAATGGGACTTAGTCATTTTTTCCAGTGTAAAATAGACCGACCGCACAGCCCAAATCCATGGAACTGTTTTGGGCATGAAAATGTGCTTGCGGTCGGTCACAATGGACTTCCATCTAACTTTTTATCTACTGGATGGATTTTTATGATTTTTGAGTATGTTTATATTTAAAGAATGTTGAATAATATGTGTTTTTTTATGAAGATCATGTGTGGTTTTAAAGTTACAGTGTATGTGTAAAAACTGTATATTTTCTGCCTGTGATAATTAAGAAGTTAGAATTATCTCAACACAATAGACTATCACAGGATAGAGGGGAGGATTTCTGCTGGGATGAATTGGGGGTGGTTTACTTTATTGTATGTGTCCTATGTAGAGAAACCCTGTGGGTGGTCCTATGTAGGGAAACCTACATAAAAGTTTTTGTATATTTGTATATAGTTAATTGCTCTCACACTATATGGTTATAGGAAATATTTATGTTGGTGCTAATTAAAACAGATCTTGGTGCTAATTAAAACAGATCTTCTTGACCCTCAACATGTAGTCTTGTCTCGTGATTGGAGGGGACAGCTATATTCACACTGGGGATTGATATGCTCTGCATGCTCCCTTGAGCTTTAATCACTTAGCTCTTTTAAGAGCTGTTCCTGTTACGCTCTCCTGGAGGAGAGGTCTTCCCCACACAGTCCTGGATGCTGGAAGTTCAGGGTGGAAGGAAGAGGTCTTTCCCACATGGTCATGGAGGACAGAAGCTGATCCAGGGTGGAAGGAAGACGGCGAGACTCCAGTTAAGCTATGGCTTGTAGAGTCTGTGGTGTCTGGTGCGATGTTTGTGGTCCTCGGTCCTTCCATCAACGGAAGGTACTCGGTCGGAGTATGGGGATTTCCGTTACAGCAGAGATCTCTCATATTTCTTCTTCTCCTAACCTCACTCCCTCTGCTGTTCTATGTTCCTTTGCACCCGCTAGAGCGGAAGAGGTTTCTGCTCTTCTCCAGTCTTCCCGCCCCACCACCTGCTCCCTAAATCCAATTCCCTCGCATCTCATCCGTACTCTGTCTTCTCTTTCTCTACCTCTCACTAAAATTCTCAATCTCTCTCTCTCTCTCGTCGGGCATATTTCCATCGCCCTTCAAACATGCAACTATAACCCCAATTCTAAAGAAGCCCAATATTGACCCTAACTCCCCGTCCAACTACCGTCCTACCTTGCTACTGCCTTTTGCGTCCAAGATCCTTGAAAGAGTTGTGTATGCGAGATTGACAGACTTCCTCGAGTCCAACTTTCTGCTAGACCTGCTTCAGTCTGATTTCCACTCTGTGGAAACAGCACTTACCAAAGTATCCAATGATCTGCTCACTACAAATCTTGTGGTCACTACTCTATCCTAATTCTCCTTGACCTTTCTATGGCTTTTGACACTGTTGATCATGAACAGCTTCTTCTCATCCTCCGCAATATTGGTCTACAAGATATTGCTCTCTCCTGGTGCTTCTCCTACCTCTCCCAGCCCTCTTTCAGTGTTTCTTTCTCTGGCTCTGCTTCTTCTCCCCAACTCCTCTCTGTTGGTGTCCCCCAAGGTTCAGTCCTTGTTCCCCTACTGTCCTCCATCTATACTACCTCCCTTGGTAAACTTATTAGCTCCTTTGTCTTTCAATATCATTTCTAAGTGGATAACACGCAAATCCCTGTCCTCTCCTGATCTCTCCCTGTCCCTCTTGACTAGTGTCTCTGACTGCCTCTCTGCTATTTCTAACTGGATGGCTGCCCACTTCCTTAAACTCAACTTGACCAAAACTGAAATTTTGGTCAAGTTTTGCTACTTCTGTGTCTGTCTCCCCCAAGTCAACGGTGCTACCATAAGCTACACCATGCAGGCTTGCTGCCTAGGTGTTCTCTTTGACTTCGACCTCTTCACGCCTCATGCTCAGTCTATTGCCAAATTCTGCCACTTCCATCTCAAAAACATTGCGTGCATCTGGCCCTACTTAACGCCAGATGCGACTAAGGTGCTGGTCTATTCCACTGTCCTTTCTTAGCTTGACTACTGTAATCCGCTTCTCAGTAGTCTTACGTGTTCCCAACTTGCGCCGTTACAGTCCATAATGAATGCAGCGGAGAGGCTCATCTTCCTGTCCGCCCGCACCTCCACGCCTCACCCTTCTGTCAGTCCCTACGTTGGCTTGATGTAAGATATAGGGCTCAATTTAAAATTCTGGTTCTTGCTTTCAAATCTCTACATAATGCTGCTCCCACCTATCTATCCTCACTAATACACAAGTATGTCCCGCGTAGGCCCTTACGCTCTGCTGAAGACTTACGTCTATGTTCTGTCCGTACTCCCACTTCTGATGCTCGCCTTCAAGACTTCTCGAGGGCAGCACCGTTCCTGTGGAACTCACTCTCCTCCTCCGTTAGATGCTCACCCAGTCTCCACTCCTTAAAAAAAATCATTAAAAACCCACTTCTTCATAAAAGCGTATCAATTAAACTATTAATAGCTCCCGACTGATTCCTCTTTTGCAACGGTCATTAGTCTAATACTATCCTTACCTTTTCTGTCACTTTACCCCACTCTCTAGCATGTAAGCTCAGGGCCCTGAAGCCCTCTGTTCCTGTGTCCAACTTGTCTGGTTACAACTACATGTTTGTTCGTCCACCCACTGTAAAGCGCTGAGGAATTTGGCGCTATATAAATAAGTTTACTCGGGACATTAACAACTTACCCGGTCCAATTAAAATGGTGGTAGAACTGCCTGACACCAATGGATACAACACAATAATGGTGGCTATAGCCATCAAATTACTTTCTTCAGGCAAAAAGACTGCTGTACTATTCCGTGATCTTATCATCCGGCTGCATGGAATCCCTGAATCTATCCTCTCGGACAGAGGTACCCAGTTAACGTTTCATTTTTGGAGAGCCTTCTGTATGTCGCTTGACATCTCTGTGGATCTCTTTACTGCGTTCCATCCACATACTAATGGCAGACAGAGAGAACGAACCAAACGTTGGAAACCTATCTTTGTTTTTACACTCACACTCACAATCTAATTGGAAAGACCTTCTTACCACCGCAGAATTTGCCTATTTGCCTATACATCCTATGCTGACCTTAAAAGGAGATCACCCCCTTCCTATCAGGTGAACCAACTGATCTGGCTGTCCAGCAGACATCTGAAACTCCCCTGTCCATCCAAGAAACTTGGTCCTAAATACATAGGTCCTTTTCGTATCAAGAAGCTGACATTTCCTGTTGTCCTTAAGCTGGACCCACCATCTTGCCATTATCGTTTTCACCCTTCCTTTCATGTGTCACTTATCAAGCCTTTTAAGGACAATACATTTCCAGATAGGATTCTTCCTCCTTCTGTTATTATGTCTGGCGATCCCGAATATGAGGTCCAGGATATCCTTGATTCTCATTTCCATCAGGGTCTTCTTGAATACCTTATCCCTGAGGACAGATCCTAAGAACCTGTGGGGAATATCAACGATCCCAGTCTTCTCCAAAGGTACCATACCCGACACCCTTCCCGACCTGCTCCTGGAAGTCTCCGAAGACGACTCCTTGGATGTTGGGGGGGTGGGGTTACTGTCAGGTCCCCGCTCCACTGCACTCTTATCTCGTGCTCCCACGCCACGTCTACCTCTGTCTGCATGGGAGACGCCGGCTCGGAGCACCTCCCCCAGCTCCATGTTGCCAACCCACTCACCGCTGCCGACTAGCCGCATTGATGTGGAGGCAAGCGGTGCCACATCCCACAAGCAGCACCGCAGATCAGGAGCCAGCATGTCAGACCTTCCTTTTCCTATTTAAACTCCACTCCTACTCCTACTATGACTCATTGCTCAGTTTTATACTGTGCTCTTGTGGTGTTCATACCTTCAGTGCCTATCCTGCTGTTTATCCTGATTCTGACCCTTGCCTGATTCCTGACTACAATACTGTGCCACCTGTCCTGACCTTTTGGCTTTCCTGACCACTCCTCGTCTGATCCTATTGTACTGTGAACCTGGTTCCTTGCTTTCAGCCTTTTCTGCATCGTGGGCTTCATCTACTAAACTACGCCTCTTACAGTTGTTTGTTCAGTAATATCAACACATGACGCTTTGGAGTATGGGTGGCTTACCAATCAACCAAACTTCAGACAAATTGCACTTTGTTTGAGTCTAATCTCTCATACTTATAGGCATAGTAACCCAAAGTAATTAGGGAAGGGAGGGTCAGCAATTTACTTTACTCCCTTACTAAAATAGCATACCACAAACATGACTTTGGACAAAAATACATACTGTGCTATTAACTATGCACTTACCATCACTATGGAGTTTATTGAAGGAATTGTGTTGAAATAAAAAAAAATATATATAATTAACACTAAGGCCAAAGTAGCAAAAGTGTCTACATTCTCAAACTAAATGATAGTTTGGCCTAAACTGTATAATTTCATGTCAAATATTCCACTCAATAAATTAAACACTGTCTGTATTTGTATATGAGCATACATGAAGGCATCTATATGATAAATCAAATAAGGTAAGTTTTAATCCAAAGATTAAAGGATCACTATAGGGTCAGGAACACAAACATGTATTCCTGACCCTATTGTGTTAAAACCACCATCTAGCTCCCCTGGACCCCTCATGCCTCCATACATATAGTAAAATCTTATTGTATTCAAGCCAGAAGCTGTAGATCTGCATACTGTTTGCATACATCATCAGAAGTGGTAGCCTGATCCAATCACAGTGCTTCTTCACTCCACATCAATGCGGCTAGTCGGCGGAGGTGAACGGGTCGGCCACGTAGAGCAGGGGGATGTGCTTCAAGCCGGCAGGGACCTGATAACAACCTGCGCAAACAATGACAGTTTTGTGTGTTTTATGATTACTAGTTTTGGTTGAAGCACCAGAAAAAGGGAGACGGAAATGAGAACATGTTTTTTGGGGGGTCGAATAAGAAGCTTACTTTGCCATGAAGGACAAGATACCCAATGATGTGGGCTGCATATCCAAACCAATTAAAGGTAGGAAAAATAGGGTACAGCCACTGTGTACTACTTATTTTTTATATATTCACAGATCAAGTGAAGTGACCAAGAGAAGGGTAAAAAGGAGGAGCAGTGAAACATCTTCATTTCCAAGCAAAGTTATTCCAGACACTCTGATTTCATCTATTGAGGGAGACAGACCAGCAGACAGATGTTGTTTTTAGTGTTTATTCACTGAATTTTGCCAGTACCAAATGGGGAAAATATATTTGGATGTGTACGGGCCTTTCGGACTGTACAATTTAGACACATTTCATGCTATGCAACAATGACCAGATTTTGCAATTCAGGCACCAAAGAGGCCTAAATGTTGTCCAGACGCTTCAAATCAGGGCAAGTTTAAAAAAAAATTTGCACGCTGACAGTGCTAGCACCAGTGTGCAAATGGTTAAAAACCCTTTGAAGTGCAAGGTTTAGCCTTGTGGCAACTGGCCACTGTCCCAAAAAAGGCCAAATAAAGAACATAATGCTCACAATATGCCTTTTTTATGTTTTTTGTTTTTTTTAAGCCAAGTATAATAAATAGTATAACTTTTCAGTTTATTCAATGAGTTGTTTTACATCATTCTTTCCTCTGTTCATCGGTATCCTTCAGTGGCACACCTACTACCTGCAAAGCCAAGTTATTGGAGATTATTTCATAATTTTACAAGTCACTCAGACTTGCAAGCTTTTGTTTTAGTTGTTCTATGTTATGACATTGCCTCACATGAAAGATCTTTTTCCAAATTGTTCCTAATATTATTGCATATTTTCTGTCATGAAACAAGCTGTGAGCGCAATACCTCTTTAATGCAAAAACCCTCTTTCCATGTGTTGTATCTAGCATACAACACATGGAAAAAGATATGCTATACTCTGTCAACTGCGAATAGATGTTTGCTTCTAATTGTTTCATGTATCACATATATATGGATTGAAAAAATTTTTTTTTTTAAAACAAACCCCACAAACCATAATATGCAACAAAACTTTTGGAAACAAAAAAAACTTGAGGTGAGACAACCAATCAAAGCTCTCAAATGAGAATATTAAGCATGGATAAATTTGGCATGGAGCCCTCGTGGGGCAAAGATGGATCTACTTTTAGTATTCTGATTTTTTTTTTTTTTTCAGAATTCTTTTGTGATATATATATTTTTTTCTTTTAAAGTTTTATTGTGTATTATGTTTTTTTATTTGGCCCTCTTGGCGGGTGAAGATATGATTAAGAAAAAATAAGATTTCTGAAGGTAATGATATATCAAATTTTTTGTTTAACAAACATTAATTTTGAATGTCCCACCTCTCACTATGATTAGGAAGAAGGGTTGTAGGTAGGATTTTTTTTATTTTATTTTTTTTTACAAATGGGGCCTTTCAAGCAAGTGGTCAGTTTCTTTTTAAAATATAATTTATAATAGATATATGATGTATACATAAAAATATACAATAGATATGCCCCACTTGCCTTAACCCCTTAAGGACTGAGCCAAATGTACATGTTGTGAACGAAACAAAATGTAAACAAAACCTGGCATTTGCGCTACATGTCTGTCCAACCGTATTTCACCTCTTTCATATTAAATGTAAAGTTATAGGGTTAAATATAGTGCTAGCAAATTAAATTCCATTTACTTTCGGCATGGGTTGTCAGGCAGGTCCCGCTAATTGTAATTCATTAAGATACCTAATTATGTAAAAATATTACATAAATATATATGTAGAATTAACGTGTGTGTGTGTGTGTGTGTGTGTGTGTGTGTATATATATATATATATGTATGTATGTGTATGTGTGTATATATATATATATATATATATATATATATATATATATAATGTGTTTTTATCCTGATGAAAGTCTTCTGTGTCAGACTAAAAACTTAATTTTTTATTTTTTCATTTTGTAAGCAAATAAGTTAAATTTTACTTTAAAGAAGTCCTGGGAGTGCTACCTTATCATTCTTTGTGTATGTATGTATGTGTGTGTGTGTGTGTATGTATGTGTATGTATATATACACATAATGTCATACTAAGTGCATTTTTATATTAATATAATATAAAAATACACTTATAATTAAATTACACACATTCTATAATATAAGTAAATAAATTTTTTTAAATAATAAAAATTATATATGTATGTAATTTTAATCTAACTGTATTTTGATATATATATATTTCAAAATACACTTAGAATGAAATTATATATATATGTACATAATTACATAAATAATTTCATAAATATACACATAGACTTCAATTATATAAATATGTTGCATATATTTTAATTCTACGTGCATATTTATGTAACCTTTTTACATAATTAAGTCATTTTATTGATTGCAAATTGAGGGGCCTGTCTGACAACCCAGGCAGAAAGTCCAGATAATTTAATTTGCTAGTACTGTATTTAACCCTGTAACTTTCCATGACACCCTAAAACTTGTACATGGGGGGTACTATTTTACTCGGGATTACTTCGCTGAATACAAATATTAGTGTTTTAAAACAGTAAAACATATCACAGCAATGGTATTGTCAGTGAAAATTAAGTTTTTTGCATTTTTCACACACAAACAGCACTTTCACTGATGATATCATTGTTGTGATACATTTACTTTGAAACACTAATATTTTTGTTTATTAACCCCTTAAGGATGGAGCCAAATGTACACGTAAACAAAACGTAAACAAAACCTGGCTTTTGCGCTACATGTCTGTCCAACCGTAATTCACCTCTTTCATAGTAAATGCACCCACCCTTATTATATATCATTTTACTCAGCAGAAACAGGGCTTTCATTTAATATCAAATATTTAGCTATGAAACATAATTTAATATGAACAAATGGGAGAAAATACAATTTTTTTTTTGATTTTTTTTTTTTTAGTTCTACATGACATTTTAACGGTCAATGTCATAATACTGTTTGCTTTTACTGCAATAAAATACACATATTTGTATTCAGCAAAGTCTCACATGTAAGACAGTACCCCCTATGTACAGGTTTTATGGCGTTTTGGGAAGTTACAGGGTCAAATATAGCACGTTACATTTGAAATTGAAATTCACCAGATTGGTTACGTTGGCATACCATTGGCAATAGTAGACAACCCAAGGTATTGAAAATGGGGTATGTCCAGTCTTTTTTAGTAGCCATTTGGTCACAAACACTGGCCACAGTTAGCGTTAGTATTTGTTTGTGTGTGAAAAATGCAAAAAACGCCAATTTTGGCAATGCTACAGCCAGCTACCCCTGGCCATGTGATTGTGAGGTCCTCGCAAGGACCCCACTCTCATATGGCCGGGGGGCTTCCAGGGGGTCGGACGTGCCGCGGGGGGCTCCCTGGGAGGCCCCCCAACCGCGATCGCCGGCGTGGGAACGCCGGAGACCAGGTAAGTAGGAAAAGACCGGAGGGCGTACTATTATGCCTAGTGGCATTTAGAGCCGCTTAGAATAGGGCGTAATAGTACGCCCTCCGGTCTTAAGGGGTTAAAGTCTCCTGAGTATAACAGTACCCCCCCATGTACAGGTTTTATAGTGTTTTTGAAAGTTACAGGATCAAATATAAGGCTTCATGTTTTTTTTTTATTGAAATTTGCCATATTGGTTATGTTGCCTTTGAGAGCGTATGGTAGCCCAGGAATGAGAATTACCCCCATGATGGCATACCATTTGCAAAATAAGATAACC